ATGAATGACTAGTTCTTTGAGCTAAGTCTAGGTCATTTTCAAGTACCTGAACTTACAATCATCTATGTTAAAGAGACAAAAAGAACACATGAAATGAATGAATTGAATTCATTTCATGAAGGAATGAAATGAAAGAACAAATGAAAGGGTAAATAAAATGCTGAAGGCATTCTGGAATCCTCGGGAAGGGTAGCATTCCTGATACTGAATCTCTGGTAAGTAATACCTCCTATTCCCAGAGTGCTCTGTCTTATTTTGCAAGTTGGAATCAAGAGTCGATGTTGCAAAGAACAGTGGGGTACCTGTGTCTTTTTGCACTATGATTTCCTCAGGGTATATGCCCAGTAGTGGGATTGCTGGGTCATATGGTAGTACCATTTTTAATGTTTTAAGGAACCTCCATACTGTTTTTCATAGAGGCTGTATCAACTAACATTCCCACCAAGGACATGTGGACACCGATGCAGAAGGAGAGGGTGGGACAAACTGGGAGATTAAGATTGACATATATACACTACCATGTGTAAAACAGCTAGCTAGAGAGAACCTGTTATATAGCACAGGGAGCTCAGCTCAGTGCTCTGTGATGACCTACAGAGGTAGGCAGTGGGAAGGAGTCCAAAGAGGGAGGGGATATATGTATACACAGAGCTGACTCACTTCATTGTATAGCAGAAACTAATACAACATTGTAAAGCTATTATATCCCAATTAAAAATGCAAAACAAAAAGTTGATGTTGTTTTTCTAACTATTCTTGAGTTAGAGGAATTTCATATCACCCTAACCAGAAAGTAACAAAATCCACCAAAAAAGGGAGACTCAGTTCCTGCCAGAGTCTTCATATACGTTTCAATTTTCCCCAGATTTTAGTATTGCATGTTCTAGGGCTGGTATCCAATATGACAACCTCCAGCCCCATATGGTTATTTGAATGTAAGTTTAAATAAGATTCAGGATGGTGGCCAAGTGGTCAAGAACCTGCCTTACAATGCAGGGGACATGGGTTTGATCCCTGGTTTGGGAACTAAGATCCCACATGCCCTGGAGCCACTAAGCCCATGAGCCACAACTACTGAAGCCCATGCCTTAGAGCCCATGCTCTTCCACAAGAGAAGCCCATGCACTACAACTAGAGAGTAGCCTCTGCAACTAGAGAAAGCCCATATGCAGCAATGAAGAGCCTGTGCGCCACAAAGACCCACTGCAGTCAAAAGTACATAAATTTAAAAAAAAAAGATTAAAAATTCTCTGCGACCCCACAGACTGCGGCATACAAGACTTCCCTGTCCTTCACCATTTCCCAGAGTTTGCTCAGACTGATGTCCATTGAGTCAGTGATGCCATCCAACCATCTCATCCTCTGTCGTCCCCTTTTCCTCCTGCCCTCAGTCTTTCCCAGCATCGGAGTCTTTTCCAGTGAGTCAGCTCTTTGCATCAGGTGGCCAAAGTTTTGGAGCAATTGGTATCCTGCAAATACTTTATTTGTTGGGGTGGTGTAGCACTAAGAGATTTTCGAACCTTATTTTCTCCCTTCCTAAGATGAATACACTGAGATCTGCATTTGATGGATTCTGAAGTCTGAGCTCATCTGGCCTGGTAGCTAGCAGTTAAGAATCTTCCCTTTCAGTTATTACCCCTCAGTGCCAAGTCCACTGCTGGGTGTACACTCAGGTTTTTAGGGACTCATCTTGCTTCCTCTGATTTATTTGGGGGATTTGGGAAACTTCTGGAGGAGCTGAGAGCCCACGGTGGTTCTGCTTCAGCTTCTCAATGTGTCTAACCCTTGCCGCAGTGTGGCAGGACTCAAGAATTGGGGGACACTGGTGCTTCAAACTATGGCAACTTCCTGTGTCATTACCCCTGACTGGTTTGAACCCCCTATGCTAGGGTGTGTGTGTTGGGGGGGTGGAATGGGGTAGGGGTAGGAGAGGGGAGGAAGCCATGCACCACCTCTCTACAGCCAAGGATACCATCAGGAGACTAAGTTGGTTCTTACCTCTCTGTGGAGGCCCAGGCCCACCCTAAATCCCAGAGTCCTGAAGCTGACTTCAATTCTGATTCAGTTGCAGAATTTACCCCCATCTCTCAGACTCTGAATGATATGGGAGGACACTGAAACCTTCTGGCTCCTCCCTGGAGCAGAGTGTCCCACTCGCTGCTTATATGCCCACAGCATGCATGGCTGGTCTCTGAGTGGGCAGGAGCCAGGCATGGAGAAAAGACGAAGAGGAGGGGAAGGCAATTCTTATTCATCAACTTAGCTCTTCTTCCTGCAGGCCTCTTGCTAGTTTTCCTCTGTAGCTTCCAGGGGCCATTCTAAGACAAAAGGCAGAGAGCAAGAAGGTGGAGAGTGAAAGCAGAGAGTGGAGCTCAACTCTCCATCAGAGAATGCAACTGGGGATTCTCAAAGGCCATGCAGTTTCAGAGTGTCTTTTCCTACACACGGTGCTAAGTTAAAATTAGGTTATGAAAAAGACAAGAGAACTGAAATCCAGCCAGAGTGAGATCACTTTCCCAGGATCACCGGGCCAGGCGGATGGGGGCGCTGGCCCTCCTGACTCACTGTGCAGCCTCTCTCCGAATCCTCATGGTGGCTCCGGCATCTGAGTCACCCCCGTGGATTCTACTCTCGCAGCCACCAGGGTCCATTTCCTCTTCCCTCCCCACTGCAGTCCACCACCCGGTGCTGGTGTCGTGACCTCTCACCTGGGCTACTGGCAACAATGTTCTGTCTGGTCTTTAGCAGGGTCACCTTCACGCTGACCCAGCTGCGTGAGACACCCCAGCTGCTACTGTGAGATGAACCTAACCGAGGCATAGCTCTCTTGGGGAACCGTCCCTGTGAGACACTCTCAACGACTTCCTGGGGTCTAATTTATTACGTGTTAAAAACTGCAGCTCAGTATTCACGGGCTGCCGGTGTGCCGGCAGCATGTTTGTACTCCAGCCCAAAGCATCACAGGCTCTGAACAGTCCTGGCTCCCCTGGCTGTGCCTTTGCTTGGAAATCCCACCTGTGCCCCATAGAGTGACACACCCACTGGTGTCCAGGTGCCTCAGTGGACCCACTCCACCCATGAAACCCTCCTGATTCCCCTGAAATTCTGTACTTCTTTGTCACATTTTGTTTTGTACTGTGGTTCTGTGTATATTCATCTTATCTCTACTAACTGTTAAACTGAGCACCTTGAAGACAATGAGTGGTATCTTGAATGAATTCCTCTTAAAGGGACAGGCTTGCCTAGAGTGTATATTGTTAAAGTGCTTTTCCTAGAGTTATAAGGACTTTTACAGTATAAACTTCATCTTTCTTAGAAAACAGTTCTTATATTACGCTCAGACCACTACAGTCCATGTAATAATAAACACAGTTAACTGCCTAGGCTAGGTGAACTGAATTAGCTCAGTAAAAAAACGTCACCAACTTCCTTCTTCACTACAGTTGCTAAATAGATATTGAAAGGAGTAACAAAATTCTTCAAAGATCCCTGAAGCGTTTATGAATCCATATAACTTATTACTAGCTAATAGAGCTTATTAGATTCTCAATAAGCTTTTGGTGCACACAGCACTAAGGGCACACATAACCAGTCACAACAACCTGCTCCTTACTGGTAGTTACGAGCACACTGGGGCTGTGTTAACAGATGTATTCATTGTATGCGATTTTTAAAATCAAGGAAAAATAAAGCAGCAAATTTATTATGTAAAAAAATAGACATGTTTTTCTTATTTCATTTTTGATCTGATTTTAAATGTTTGAATAAAACATAAAGGAGAACTGTTGTTTAACAAAATCCTGGCAGATATCAGAACTGATACTGATGAGTTAAGAGCAAACCAAGAATGATCAGAAATGACCAGGCAAACTATCATTTTAAAAAATCAACTTGGTAAATAAGACCAGGTATTTCTGGTCTTGTGTATTTCAGACCAGACAAAACCCAGGTATGGAAGCAGGACTCTATCTTCACTTCCATTGAAAATGGCGCTGGTATCTGTCCCCCTTTATATGGAAAATAAAATAAAATAATGGGTCTGCTACCCCATGTGCCACTTACTACCTCGTTACTGATTCTTGGAGCAAATTAAATTTACATTTTTAAAGATTGTCAAAGTTTCTTTGTGTTTTGGGGCATGTGTATAGGTGATGAGGTATGGGATTAAAGAGGAATAGGAAAAGGGGAGAGAATGGGGCATACTAGATGTTTTTGTTTTTTTGGGTTTCTCTAAAGATTTTTTTTTTTTTTTGGATGGGGACCATTTTTAAAGTCTTTATTGAATTTTTTACTACATTGCTTCTGTTTCATGTTTTGGTTTGCTGGCTGTGAAGCATGTAGGATCTTAGCTCCCTGACCAGGGATTGAACCCATACTCCCTGCACTAGAAGTTGAAGTCTTAACCACTAGCTGCCAGGGAAATCCCTAGAGCGTTATTATACAACTTAAAAAAAAAAAAAATTGAATCGTCAACTGGTGTTTAGATCTTTTACAATTTTGTGAATAGTTATATGGTGTAAAGATTTGAAATCAGTTTTTAAGTTGAAACTTTTCCCATTTCACAACCCTCACAAAAATGAAATATTTACCACTAAGCAAGTCTTTTTCAGTTGCTTACCCTTGTGAAGCCAGGATAATGATATTCAAGACCTGTTCTGTTTGTTTTCACCAAAGACAGTGTGATCATGCTACTTTTGGTGACTTGCTTCCTAAATTCTCAAGGCAGAAATGGCATTGGTTTCACAGTGAGACTCATGAAGGGCATTCTTCCTGGTCCTGGAAGCCCATCACCAAGTCCTCACTGAGCGCTCACAGAGGGCACAGCTCGGCGACTCGGCACCAACATTGGCATTTGTTGTTGACAACTGTTGGCTTCACCTCTTCTCCTTATAACCCGTCTAAATGGGGTTTGTAATCCTCCCTCCCACCCTCTCCCTTCACTCCCTGGGGAGGGAATGCTGGCCCCTGTTCTCTGTCACCTGTCAGAATCCATCCTCCTGTCACTGGCTTATATGGACAAGTCAGTCTGATACCACGTGACCCTCAGCTGCTAAAAACAGCTCGAGCGCCACTGTGAACCTGGGTCTGAAACAATGTCCTCCGCCGAAAGAAACGTAAAGGACACTTGATCACCCAATCCTTGGAATTATTTCCAGGTATCACTTGCAGAAGCTGTTCGGAGCAGCCTTTCCCTGGCAGAGCACCCAGGGACGGCCAGGAGATGAGCGCATCTTTGAATTACAAGTCTTTTTCCAAAGAGCAGCAGACCATGGATAACTTGGAGAAACAGCTCATTTGTCCCATTTGCTTAGAGATGTTCACCAAGCCTGTGGTCATCCTCCCCTGCCAGCACAACCTGTGTAGGAAATGTGCCAGTGACATTTTCCAGGTAGGTTTGTTGGGAAAGCAGAGGGTGGAAAAGGTTTCCCTCTTCTCCAAACCCAGTGCTTCACTTTAAGGTGAATTTCTTTAGAAAGCTTTATAAGGTTGCATTTGTTAAAAAAAAAAAAAACTTTTTTTAAGTGATTTGCTTTGTGCTTTGCTGTCAGCCTTCTGCTCTCAAATCTAATTTTATTTCAATACTGAGAATCATATTTGTTTAAAAAAATGGAATCTGTTTCAAAATCTTGGGCAGTAAATGAATTACTGCCCAAGACATTAATGCTGGAGTTTCTAGCTGGAACTTCTGGTTATGAAAAAGCAGCTTGTGCTGAAAACAGTCCATCGCACTGCACCGTGTCGGCCCACGTTTTCAGACCACTTGCTCATAAGGCCCTGTGGGGTAATGTGGGGCAAGCTGAAGACAGGAGTTGATATTGTTTGTAGTGACAGAGAGGGAAAGAAAACCTGAGGAAAGCTACCTATGGCGCTACTCAATCCCTCTTTTCTTGCTTGGCAAGAACAGGCCTCTAACCCGTACCTGCCCACAAGAGGAGGCACCACCGTGGCCTCCGGGGGCCGGTTCCGTTGCCCATCCTGTAGACACGAAGTGGTTTTGGACAGACACGGGATCTATGGGCTTCAGAGGAACCTGCTGGTGGAAAACATCATCGACATCTACAAGCAGGAGTCCACCAGGTATGGTTCGTCTGTGTATCAGACATGCTCGACGCTTGTTTTTATTGTTTGTTTTAGTGGGTCACTCTACTGAATGCTTATTCACCAATCATGGGCTAATTGTTTTATGGGGAAATGTTTTTCCAAGTCAGTCTTTCCCAGTGGGAGTGAGAGTCCCTCTTGGGAGGAGAGGAGGAAACGGATGCCTGTGCCTTTGTATCGATTTAAGAATGAAGTAACTCATTAACGCTAATCTAGTTCAGATGGTGTTATTGAAAGAGGCATAATACTGCCACCACCCCCTGCCTTGTACCGTGTGTTAGTCGCTCAGCTGTGTCTGAGTCTTTGTGACGGCATGGACTGTGGCCCACCAGGCTCTTTTGTCCATGGCATTCTCCAGGCAAGAATACTGGAGTGGGTTGCCATTCCCTTCTCCAGGGGACCTTCCTGACCCAGGGATCGAACCCAGGTCTCCTGCACTGCGGGCAGATTCCTCGCCACCTGAGCCACCAGGGAAGTACACCTTGTACTCCCGTCCCTTTAGATGTTTCCGCGTGTCACAGGTCCTCACAGCTCCAGAGTCTACACAGCCAAAACACTAGGGTACAGAACTCTACAGAAAATGGAACACAAATGGCGTCTTCCAAAATCTGCCCATTTACTAGTTCAGACAGTCTCACTTTAAAACTACCTAGAGGATAATAATAAAAACAAAACCCTCTAACAGAATTAGTCGTGGTATTGACTCTGGAAAGGAGCAAAGTAAGGCAGACTTCCGGGCTTTAGCAACTTAAGCGTTTGGAGACATGGGAGGAAAAAAAATATGGAGCTCAGGTTATGTTTCCCTATTCTCTCGGTTGTTCTTACTGTATACTCTTGGCATGTACCTGCTTATTGACATGCAGCATCTACATCAGTCATTTTTTAATTTTTTTGAAAAGGGCATTTTTATTCACCGAATCACACTGGCTATAGAATTCCTTTCCTAGAGACAGCACTGCAGGAGTCCATTCTTAGAAGGCCTGGTGTGAAGGGCCCTTTCTCAACTGTACACAAGTTAGTCTGGTCCACAACGCTTGACAGCGATACTGGGACCATCTAGAAATGACCTCACTGTGCTTCCTCGCAGGAGACACAGATTCATGGAACATCTGCCGGGCTCGAAGAGCCTGGGGCTCTTAGAAGGAAAGCTGTTCCATAAATAGAACATATAATTATTATAATCGCTATGGCTATTCATTTCTGCTTAAGATTCAAAACTAAATTAGATAGTGCCATGATATAGATGGCACTGGAAGAATTGCTGATGATAGACTGAGTCAGCAATTTCCCTGGCTTCCAAAATCTCTTGAGACGGAAAGCACCACTGTTATAATTAAGATCTGATCTCCTTTTATTTCATTACTTTAAGATACATACATCTATCTACTTTAAGATAGGTACACTGTCTCTTAAAAAGTTAGTCGGCCAATTAGTAACCAACTGATTATTATGGCTGTTTATATAACATCTGATTCAGTGTCTGAGACAGTGCCTTACACAGAATAGTTGCTCCCTAAGTGCCTGCCAGATGACCAAGCGACACCATAAATTTTCCTACACATTCTACTTACTGCAATAGTTTTCTGTTTTGCTCTTTGCCACAGTGAGAGTTTGAATGATGTGAAATAATAACTGTAACTGTTACGTAATCCAGAGAAGAGGAGATGTTAGCATTTGTAGCATGAGTAAAACAAGACACAGGCTGGTTTTAATTTTAAAGTCAGTGAAGCACATCTGCCAAAAAATGATGTGCAGGTGAGCAAATTGTATAAAAATAATGAACCAAATTTCCAATATCAAAACTCAGAGCTGAGTAGACTATTGATGCTTTTGTGATTCTCAAATTCTTCTTATGCTACTGCTTCTTACCTCAGACTTGCTTTGGGGGCATTTTTAATTGGTAGCAGAACCACCAATTGTACACAGGGCTTGGGCACATGTTTGGACATAAACACAGTTGTTTCCTGAGGGCTGGCAGCTTTACCAGCCCAGAACCCTAAGCTTCAGGGTACAAGGGGAGACTCTGAAATCACTTGGATACACAGAGTGAGATAAACCCTGGCCCACATTGGGGTGGAGGCAGAAAGGGCAGGTGCTGGTCAACTCTGGCCTCCCACAGAATGGCTAGAAATTGTAGATCTCGACAAAGTCTGGCCTTCTTTTTAGGGATGGGAGGCCCTCCGTGAAATGCAGCATGTGGGATCTTAGTTCCCTGACCAGGGATCGAACTCATGCCCCCTGCAGTGAAGCATGGAGTCTTCCATGCTGGACCATCAGGGAATGCCCAACCTGGCTTTCTTATTGAGCCTTCTACTGGGTGCTGAACTAGCTGCAGTTTGGGGGTAGAGGTGGGGTGATGAGAGAAGGAACTAATTTCACCAATATTAATAATGAACATGATGAAAGTGAAAGTGTTAGTCGCTCAGTCCTGTCTGGATTTTTGTGACCCCATGGACTGTAGCCTGCCAGGCTCCTTTGTCCATGGGATTTCCCAGGCAAGAATACTAGAGTGGGTTGCCATTCCCTCTTCTGGGGAATCTTCCCAACCCAGGGATCAAACCAGGTCTCCTGCATTGGAGGCAGATTCTTTATCATCTGAGCCACCAAGGAAGCCAATGAACATGATAATTAACTTTAAAATACAGTAAGCCAAACTAATTATGTATTGAATATGTATCAGCCACTGTTCAGGGTGCTATACATACGAATCATGTATAATTCTTTAATTTTAACAGTCTTGTGAGATTGTGATTATTATTGTTGTTGTTCAGTGGCTCAGTCCTGTCCAACTCTTTGTGACCCCATGGACTGCTGCACACCAGGCTTCCCTGTCCTTCACCATTTCCCAGAGCTTGCTCAAACTCATGTCCAATAAGTCAGTGATGCCATCCAACTATTTCATTCTCTGTGTCCCCTTCTCCTCCTGCTTTCCATCTTTCCCAGCATCAGGGTTCTTTTCTAATGAGTTGGCTGTTCGCATCAGGTGGCCAAAATATTGGAGCTTCAGCGGTAGCATCAGTCCTTCCCATGAATATTCAGGACTGATTTCCTTTAGGATTGACTGGTTGGATCTCCTTGCTATCCGAGAGACTTTCAAGAGTCTTCTCCAACACCACAGTTCAAAAGCATCCTTTCTTCAGCACTCAGCTTTCTTTATGGTCCAACTCTCATATCCATACATGACTACTGCAAAAACCATAGCTTTGACTATATGGACCTTTGTTGGCAAAGTAATCTCTCTGCTTTTTAATATGCTGTCATAGATTTTAATATGCTGGTCATAGATTTTCTTCCAAGGAGCAAGCGTCTTTTAATTTCATGGCTGCAGCCACCATTTGCGGTGATTTTGGAGCCCAAGAAAATAAAGTCTCTCACTGTTTCCACTGTTTCCCCATCATTTGCCATGAAGTGATGGACCAGTTGCCATGATCTTAGTTTTCTGAATGTTGAGTTTTAAGCCAACTTTATCACTCTCCTCTGTCACTTTCATCGAGAGGCTGTTTAGTTCCTCTTCACTTTCTGCCATAAGGGTGGTGTCCTCTGCATATCTGAAGTTATTGTTATTTCTTCCAGCAATCTTAATTCCAGCTTGTGCTTCTTCCAGACCAGCATTTCCCATGATGTACTCTGAATATAAGTTAAATAACCAGGGTGACAATATACAGCCTTGACATAATCCTGTCTCATTTTGAACCAGTCCATTGTTCCATGTCTGGTTCTAATTGTTGCTTCTTGACCTGCATACAGGTTTCACAGGAGGCAGGTCAGGTGGTCTGGTATTTCCATCTCTTGAAGAATTTTCCACAGTTTGTTGTGATCCACGTAGTCAAAGGCTTTAGCGCAGTGAATAAAGCAGAAGTAGATGTTTTTGTGGAATTCTCTTGCTTTTTTGATGATCCAACAGATGTTGGCAATTTGATCTCTGATTCCTCTGCCTTTTCTAAATCCAGCTTGAACATTCACGGTTCCTGTACTGTTGAAGCCTAGCTTGGAGAATTTTGAGCATTACTTCGCTAGTATGTGAAATGAGTGCAATCGTAGTAGTTTGAACATTTTTTGACATTAGGATGAAATTCTTTGGCACTGCCTTTCTTTGGGATTGGAATGAGAAGTGACCTTTTCCAGTCCTGAGGCCACTGCTGAGTTTTCTAAGTTTGCTGGCACACTGAGTGCAGCACTTTCCCAGCATCATCTTTTAGGATCTGAAAGAGCTCAGCTGGAATTCCATCACCTCCTGTAGCTTTGTTTGTAGTGATTGCTTCCTAAGGTTGTAGTGATTATTATTATCACCTTATTAAAAATTTTAAATATTTTATCCTGGTGGCTTAGTGGTAAAGAATCTGCCTGCAATGCCAGAGATGCCTCCTGCACAGGAGACATAGTTTTGATCCCTGGGTCGGGAAGATCCCCTGGAGAAGGAAATGACAACCCACTCCAGTATTCTTGCCTGGAGAATCTAGTGGACAGAGAAGCCTGGCAGGCTACAGTCCATGGGATTACCAAAGAGTTGGACACGACTTAGCGACTAGACAACAGCAATGACAACTCAAAGCAATTTCTATGTATATACATAATTTTAAACATTCCAGTAGCACTACAAGTCCTCTAAAGAGAGCAACATTCCAGGTCCTACCATCTCTCAGCCACTAAGCCTCACCTCCCAGAGTCAGCCATGTTTATTTCTTTCAGTTTTTCTTCTGCCGTTTATCACCTAGAGCCCTGTGTCCACTACTAGTAGCTCCTCTCCCTGGATTTTTCAGTTTTAGACATTACTTACTGACTTCACTGAAGGCAATGAGGGCTAAACCCTTTCATAGTTAAGCTTCACTTTCTATGATACATTTACTTTCCCCTGGGATGAATCCCTTGTTTCCTAGATCCTTTGTCATCTCCTTTATTGGTTTACTCTATTGTTTTTGTGGAGCACATCCTTAAGTAATCCTCTAAAGTGTACAAAATGTCCCCCTTTCAGCCCTCCCCACACTCTCACCTTCCAGGTGCCAGGGCTCTGCAATCCCAGGGCCTTTACAGGGAAACTTGTAAAACTGAGGCAGTTTGCTTCCTGCTTGCTTCTCTCAAGAAGGCTATCAACAGAACCAATGCTGTTCAAACAGGTGACTTCTCTTTGTCAGATGTCCACAATTTCCAGCATTTGCCTGCCATCTCTTCTTTGCTGTCACCTTGCTCATTTTTTTGTTCTTACTGGTTTCTACCTTTTTATTCCCTTACTCTCATTTTAGTGGGGTTTCAGCAGGAAATGTAAATAAGCAAATGCCTATGTTATCCTGGCATATTTAATTAGAAGACCCCTAGTCCAATTTTCAGATGTGAGGAAATGCTGAGCCTGAAAGAGTTGAAGGAACTTGCCTAAGGCCCCGAAGCCCACCACATGGTGAAACTGAACTGGGATTAATTAAGCTTTGAGATCAGTTTGACTCTAAAGGTGATGCCTGAAATGTCAGCACCAGATGCCCATCCTTCAGGAAACTCCAGGATGGTCCCAGAAGCCCCAGAGAGCAGAGGGAGCAGGCTACAGACTCCCAGCGACCAGTTTGCATGGGACAGTAGGGAGGACACAGCTGGCATTTGACTCTGAGTCCTAAACCACAGCTAAGAGCTCAGCCACGCTCACCTCATGAAATTGCCTTTATATTTTATTCTATGCACCATGTTTGTCCCAAGTCTGTTAGGTGTTGTGAGGTGTCTGAATGTTTTCCTTCCATACCCAGGTGTAAGTGGAGGATGCCCCTCAGGCTGTGCAGCCACACTGAACAAGAAAAGCCTAGTAAGGAATATTTCAGGCAGTCCTTGGTCTATATTGCCAAAAGTCATCACAATCAGAAGAGCCTGTGGCTGTTTCCACATTTTCAGTATAGCACACACTGCAAATGTCTGAGCTCTACAACATTGTCTCTGGTCAGAGCTGCTGACTTCGGAACAGCACATGGGACAAAGGCCACCTTTGGGAAATATCTCGGGGGAAGGGCATCAGCAGTACCATCTCCCAGGAAATGTGCTCCAGATTCTCACTGACACTTATTCCAAGGTGAGGAGACACAGGAGGGAAGGTTTTAGAGGTGGTGAGGCCTTTGATGATGCAAAGACCAAATCACCACTCCTAGTCTCTAGCTAACCCCTGGAGGCCTTTGTCATCTACTCTTAAGATATTTATTTATTTGGCTGCACCAAGTGTGAGTTGTGGCACTCAGGATCTTTAGTTGCAGCATGGAAGCTCTTGGTAGAAACATGTGGGATCTAGCTCCCTGACGAGGGATTGAACTTGGGCTCCTTACATTGGGAGCACAGAGTCTTAGCCACTGAACCACCAGGGAAGTCCCACCTTTGTCATTTAGAAATGGAGTCTTCAAGATGTTGTCTGGTCTCTTCCTTGGTCACTAAGGAGAATCAAGTGACCAAGCTCTCCCCATTGTTCACATGCCTTCTCTAAAGGAGCCGTTTTACTTTAGAGCATGCGGAATACTGGCAAATTCCCTTCCACCTCTCACTCATATATCCAGCAAATATTTACTGAGCGCCCACTCTATGCAAGGCACTGTTTTTGGCACTGGGAACCCAGCAAAAGAAGACAACCCATGACCTCTGCCCTCTTGGAGCTCACGTCCCATTGGAGGAAACAGACAGACAATAATATATATAATGGGATAGCGCATACGTGCTCAGTCGCTTAAGTCATATCCGACTCTTTTGTGACCCCATAGACTATAGCCTGCCAGACTCCTCTGTCCATGGGATTTCCCAGACAAGAATATTGGAATGGGTTGTCATTCCCTTCTCCAGGAGATCTTCCCAACCAAGGGATTAACCCACGTCTCCAGCATTGCAGGCAAACTCTTTACCACTGAGCCACCTGAGAAGCCCCATAAAGGGACAGTACTCAGTCATAAAAAAGAATGAAATATTGCCATCTGCAGCAACATGTATGGACATAGAAGAATACTATACTAAGTGAAGTAAGTCAGAGAGAGCAAGACATTTTATGTTATCACATATGTGGTATCTAAAAAAATAATATAAATGAATCTACATACAAACTACACCTTTACAAACCGGAAGGAGACTCACATCAGACACAGAAAACAAACTAATGGTAACCAGAGGGGAAAGGAAAGGGAGAGGACTAAATTAGGAGTATGAAATTAACAGATACAAACTGCTATACAAAAAATAGATAAGCAACAAGCATTTACTGAAAACCACAGGGAATATATTCAGTATCTTGTAATAACCTTATAATGGAAAATAATCTGGAAAAAATACATATAAAACTGAATCACTCTGCTGTACATACCTGAAACTAACACAATATTGTAAATCAAGTATACTTCAATAAGATAAAAATTCAGTCCCAAATCTGAGATGCTTCTAAATAATGTGTTAGGGAAAATGAGGAAAACTTTTGAACCTGTTTTTAGTTTTTCAAACACTTGTGAAAACTATTAACAGCCTCAGGCTTTAGATAGTTCATATCCAAATTCCAGATTTCATATAAGTAGGCTCTACTTCCAGTAGACTGGACTCCCCACCATGGTCTCCAGAGGGAGCCTAAAACACCACAGATGATGCAATTTTGATCTTAATGTAACACCTAAGCCTCCCTGAAGGTCAGGAGAGCATACAGCTGTGTGAACCTGGGCTCCTCCAGGTGATTCTGCAGCCAACAGTTTATCCTTAAGTACCAATGCTTGTCACTGCCCTTCTCTGCCTTTTAATAGCTTGGTCATGGTCTCACTAGCACATACAAACCCAATGCCCATTATTACTTGGCAGCTCTGAAAAGTTTTGGTTGGTGCTGACCTATTGGGAAAACTGAAATTTGGGAATTATCTATGAAATTTGCACTTCCGGTTTACCACCACATCTCAGAACAGCATTTTCCATTTTCCTTTTTGCCTCAAGTATTCAGTATAATTGTTCACATCCACTGAGCACAGACTACCTACTCTTTTAACCACTGCTGAGTCCTCAGAAGTTAAATAAATGTAATGTTCTGGGCTAATGGTAGGAGGGGACCCAAACAAATTAACAAACAAAGCACTCGCTGACCTTTCTCCTCTTACATACAACTACTTCCAACCAAGACGGAGGTGAATGATCAGACATCTGGGCTTCCCCAGCCCAGACCTCTCATTCCTTCTGCAGGGGCCAGAGGCCACAAGGGTGGGGAGATGGGCCTCAGAGCTAGTGCACACTTAAGATTTCGTTTTCAGCTGCCTCTTCTTCTTTACCTGGATTTGTAAAATGTCTTTTGAGAGACTCGTGAATTTGGTGCTGAAGCAGCGCCTAAGAATCCAGTGTTCAACTTGCAGGAGTTGCATTAGCTGGTTTTTAAATCTTGAAATCAGCCATGGAGAAGCCCTCACACCACAGAAACTGGCAAAAACTACAAGTCAGAGTTTCCATGTCCTCACCCCCAGGCTGGTTAAGTTGGTTAATTTGTCAGGACGCTGCTGCTAAACCTGTAGGGAATTTGGAGGCTCTGAGCACAGTGAAAGGGGCCCTGGTAGTCGCTGGTGTAGGGTTGCTGGGGGTACGTTGGGGGTGGGGAAGGAGGTTCAGCCAACCATGCTCAGCTATGCCGCAACCTGAGCAGATTCATCCATCTTACCTCCTCCCAGACCAGAAAAGAAGTCCGACCAGCCCATGTGTGAGGAGCATGAAGATGAACGCATCAACATCTACTGTCTCAACTGCGAGGTGCCCACCTGCTCTCTGTGCAAGGTCTTCGGGGCGCACAAAGACTGCCAGGTGGCTCCCCTCACTCACGTGTTCCAGAGGCAGAAGGTAACACGCCCCCTGCCCCTCCTCCACAGCCCCTTCCAAGTGTGACTGAAGGAGAGGGGCCCACAGGCCGACCAGAGGGCCCGGGGGCTGCAGGGGAGGGGAGAGCACTGGCAGAGCGGGAAGGACTACTGCATGCCGGAGGGTGGTGGGCAAGGTGGGGTGCAGAGGGTCAGGAAGGGGTGTGGAGGGGAAAGGTCGCTATTTTTCCACCATTAGAGGTTGCCGAAGATGCATACTATTCTGGGGCCCAGTCCCAGCTCAGGCTGCTCAAACACTGAGGTTCAGCCCATAGGAAATAAAAGGATAACTTCTTACTCCAGTCTCAGAATACTTTTCTTTGTTCCTCAACCAAAGATTCCTTTGGCCCTCCTCAAGGCCTCTTCTCCCCCACTCCTATCTGGTGTAGTTACAATGACTGACATTTTGTTAAATGTTTCCTAAGGCTAGTCCTCATGCCTGGGTTAAACTGACCCCCTAGGTCAGCCTGGAAGGCCCCCTTTGGGTCTAACACATGCCACCCTTGCACCCCCCACTCCAGGGCCTCAGCATAACTCCCTCATTAAGAGCAATTTTGGGGTATCTCAGCTTATCACTAACCTGCCAGCCTACAGCCCACAGGCAGGTAGGAACTTACACATTTGATACAAATGAACGAGGGGTTGTGGGCTCAGAGAGCTGTGGCCGAGTCTTAGCATCTAGGATTTGAGCAGCTCCACATCTCAGCTTCTTCCTCTAAGAATCGCAGATTCCACAGTTAGTGTTTTACTGACCAAATACAGAACTGGAATCAAATTTGGAAGTCAAACCTTTGGGCAACACCAGTTACAACCAGTGAGTACTAACTGATAAAGAAGCAGGACTGAGCAAAATAGCTATACAGTTATTTATTGTCCCATCCACTTATGGCTTACCCGCCTTTTCCTTTTACCTGCCCCTCCCCAAAGTCACAGCCTATTAGAACTGAATGGTACCTGGGTCACACCATTCCCCTCAGAGCCCTGAGACCATGAGGGATGGACAGAGGTAGGCTGACAGGACTTCTGTTCTGCTCCTGTTTGGCCAGAGCAGCATTATTTGATCCATTGGGATTATATATTAGCTCCCATTTGGAAAAAGGGTTCTGCAGCTTTAAAATGTTTCACAACCCCTGTTCTGGTCCAGTCTTCTCAATTTATGTGTGAGACAAGTAGGGTCCAAACTGATTACATGGTTTGCCCAACACCATAGAGAAGCTAAAGGCCGAGTTGGACCAAGCATGTAGGTTTCCTGAGTCCCATTCATTCCGTAAGTATGAACAGTGGAATCGTTTCAGGTCAAAAGAGTCTGAGGGGAATTTTAAGCTGAAAAAATGTTTTCCCCTAGAAACAGTGGAATGTTAGTTTCAAATCTGTAATGACTGAGTCTAGTATATGAGTATTTGTTTGCATCTAGCACAGAGAAGGGTGTATCACAGGTATTTGGTGAATAAATGAAACATTTCCCTAGTAAAACTAATCCTGAAGGCTTCCTGGTGGTCCTGTGGTTAAGAATCCACCTGCTGGTGCAGGGGACATGGGTTCAATCCCTGGTTGGGGAAGATCCCACATGCCGTGGAGCTACTAAGCCCATGTGCCACAACTACTTCTCACGCTCTGCAACAAGAGAAGCCACAGAAGTGAGAAGCCTGTGCACCACAACAAAGAGTAGCCTGCACTCGTGGCAACTAGAGGAAGCCTGCATGCAGCAACAAAGACCCAGCATAGCCAAAAATAAATATGTAAATCTTAAAAAAAAAAAAAAAAAACTGATCCTGAGCTGCGCTATAATTCAAATAATTAAAGGTTCAAATAATTCATGTTGGACCCCTGATGTCACATATTGATCTCCATTCAGTATATAAACAGTTCTTAGAATTATTCAGCTTGAATGTGCTATTTGCTGTCTATGGCCTATAATTCAGTGTTCTTAATGTTTTTGGCAGGGTCACAGTCTTCATTAAGAATTTGATGAAAACTGTGAAGCTTCTTCCCAGACAAATGCATTTATACACCCATCCTTCCAGGATTTTATTTATAAGATTAGGAGGTTCTCAGATCTCTCAGCATCACTGTTCCTCACTAGGGGGTTCCATGGACCCTAGATTGAGAACTCATGAGAACAGTACTAAGGAACCCATAATCAGTGGGGGACTAGAAAGCCCCTAAAATCTTGAATCCCTCTTTTCTCTCCATTAGTCTGAGCTCAGTGATGGCATTGCTGTCCTCGTGGGAAGCAACGATCGGGTCCAGGGAGTGATCAGCCAGCTGGAGAGCACCTGTAAGACGATTGAGGTGAGTCAAGTAGCTTGAAGGGAGGGTAAGCCACACCTAAGCTCCTGGGGGTTTGTGGTTCCCTCGACACAACCGTAGAAATCCCTGCTCCAACATTTCAGTCTTTCCTTATGGAATGACCTCCCTTGTGCACGCGTGCGTGCTAAGTTGCTTCAGTCATGTTCAACTCTTTGCAACCCTATGACCATAGCCCACCAGGCTCCTTTGTCCATGGGATTCTCTAGGCAGTGGCTGCCTTGCTCTCTTCCAAGGGATCTTCCTGACCCATGGATCGAACCCACGTCTCTTATGTCTCCTGCGTTGGCAGGTGGGTTGTTTATCACTGGAGCCACCTGGGCAGCCCCAACCTCCTCCCTGATGTGTCTCTGAAATATTCACCTCTTGGCACAGGAAGAGAAGATACCCCATGAGGCAACAAGGCAGATTTTACCACACTGATCAAGGTGGTGGTTACATGTGGTGCTGTTTCTTGGGCAACCCATTTTAAAGGGTTAGCTATAGGAAATAGCAATTTTGGGACTTCCCTGGTAGTCCAGTGGTTAAGACTCTGAACTTCCAATGTAGGGGCTTTGAGTTCAATCCCTGGTCCAAGAACTAAGATCTCACATGCCACATGGCATGGCCAAATTTAAAATAAAAAATCAATTTCCAAGTAATGACAACGAGTGTTGTTAGAGCAAAAGTTTTTTGTGGGAATCCAAATGGTCTTAAAAAATGCTGTTTGGTACTTTAGAAAAGTCATGTGCAGATCTGAGCTGCATGGTGACATTGTTTAGTCTCTAAGTCGTATCTGATGTTTGCAACCCCACTGACTGTAGCCTGCCGGGCTTCTCTGTCCATGGGATTTCCCAGGCAAGAATGCTGGAGTGGGTTACCGTTTCCTTCTCCAGGGAATCCTCCTGACCCAGGTACTGAACCTGCGTCTCCTGCACTGGCAGATAGATTCTTTACTGCTGAGCCACCAGTGAAGCCCAGTGTTCCATTTACCTGTATTCTTATAAAATGTGTATTGCTATATGCATGTCTTTTAATTTTATAAATGGTATTGTGTCATACTTCTCATTCTGCTTAATATTTTTTAAATTAAGCATTATGCTTTAAGATCTATTCACATTTACATTCATTCCTTCAGTTTTCTCCTGGGAAAATAGAGCAAAGTATCCATTTTATAGAGTTTAACCATGAGAAGTCAAATAAGCATAAGCATAATGCTTAGCACAGTGCCTGGCATATGGAGAGTGCCTGATAAATACCCTAGTCTGACCATTTTATTGCTTGAAAGGTGAGTTCTATCAAAAGGTAAAGGCCTGTTCCTAGATGACTTCAGGATATCATCTCATTTTAGATTTACATATCATTGAAGTGAGTATCCTCTCTTCTCCATACCCATATTCCTGAAAAGACTCATGATGGATTTGGAACTGGTTTATAGAAGGAAAGTTTCCTCTTGATGAAGAGCTCAAAGAGATTTTGAAATGGACAAACTTTTTTTTTCCTTTTCCCTTATTCACAGAAAAGGCCAAATAAAACTATCATTAGGCCATGAATCAGCACTTGGTGTGGTACCACCCTGAGTCTTGAGTATATAAATAGGAGTGTGTTGCTTGTGGGCAGTGAGTTCATCTCTATACAGAGAGTTCATCTCTATGTAGAGAAGGTCTCTATTCAGACCTTCATCAGAGACCTCCATCAGGGGAATGGGCTTTCTGTCTGGATGTTGAGGCTGGAAAACAAAAACAAGAAAAGCCCTGGGTGTCACACTGCCGTTGAGCAAGTGCAAAGGTCTTAGCTCTATTTAGACAGCATCAGAGGACACTGGGACGAGAAGAGACTTGACAGCAGGTTTTCTTCCTGGAGGCTGGTCAGTGGCACAGAAGGAAGCAGCTGGTTTTTCTTTCACTGTGAACAAGATGAGAAGGAACAGGTTTGGAGCTCTGCCCACAGGAAGGAGTTAGTGTCAATATCAGGATGAACTTTATGGCAGTGAAGGTCAGCATTATCACCCCTCTTATTCCTAACAAAAACAATGGGTGAATAGGTACCCTTTTACAAGTATTTTCACAGTTCCCTGGAGGAACGTGTGTCATCGTCCCCCTCCAGGCTTCAAAATTAGTCTGCAAACTGGTATGTGTGTGTGTTAAGTCACTCAGTCATGTCTGACTCTTTGCACCCCCATGGACTATAGCCCGCCAGGCTCCTCTGTCCATGGAGTTCTCCAGGCAAGGGTACTGGAGGGCGTTGCTATTCCCTTCTCCAGGGGATCTCCCCAACCCAGGGATCGAACCCAGGTCTCCTGCATTGCAGGTGGATTCTGTACCGTCTGAACCACCAGGGAATTGGTAGGAGGTTTAAAAGTGTCCATCCCTTTTATTTGTTTAATTCACTTCTGGAATTTTAGCTTAAGATGAAAAAGTGGTATATAAACAGGGCAGAATGTCTGTATTCATAAATAACTCCAGATACATTCAAAAGGGGGGGAGGGAAATGCCAGACACCTGAAGTCTAAGACTAGTAAATAGTGAAACTACAAGTGATTTTCAAGGCCTCCCTTACATATTCCGGTACTTCTCATGTTTCTAAAATGAGCCTGAGATTTTTAAAATAACCAGTAGAGTAAGGGGAAAAAGAATAAATGAATGAATATGGCTCAGATAAGCACACTTCTTTCAGATCAGTTTAAGTGGCTCACTTGGAAATGTAGGGGTTGGCTCAGAGCCCCAAGAGATCTTGGACTTTATGATTCCTACCTGGGCTCCAAAATCACTGCAGATGGTGTCTGCAGCCATGAAATTAAAAGACATTTGCTCCTTGGAAGAAAAGCTATGACCAACCTAGACAGCATATTAAAAAGCAGAGACATTACTTTGCCGACAAAGGTCCATCTAGTCAAAGCTATGGTTTTTCCAGTAGTCATGTATGGATGTGAGAGTTGGACCATAAAGAAAACTGAGTGCCAAAGAATTGATGTTTTTGAGCTGTGGTGTTAGAGAAGACTCTTGAGAGTCCCTTGGACAGCAAGGAGATCCAAGCAGTCCATTCTAAAGGAAATCAGTCCTGAATATTCATTGGAAGTATTGATGCTGAAGCACCAATACTTTGGCCACCTGATGTGAAGAACTGACTCACTGGAAAAGACCCTGATGCTGAGAAAGATTGAAGGCAGGAGGAGAAGGGGACGACAGAGGATGAGATGGTTGGATGGCATCACTGACTTGATGGACATGAGTTTGAGTAAGGTCTGGGAGTTGGTGATGGATGGGGAAGCCTGGCATGCTGCATTCCATGGGGTTGCAAAGAGTTAGACATGACTGAACTGACTGAACTGATGCAAATATCCTGCATTTGAAGAGGCCTTGAGTGCTGAGACAGTTACAGACGGCCCTACCATGTACCTGGAATCACTAAGGTGACAGTATGCAGAGCCAGGACCACCTCCCAGGCCCACCAGCAGGGCAGTACATAGTGAAGCACATGAGGGTCTCCCCTGTCAAGCAGGTAAATTCTGTACCAGGGCCAGGGTCCCAGAGTGTCTCTTTCTCCTGTCCTTCCTGGCTTAGTTGTTTCTCTTTCTGGTTCCGTTCACCACCTGCCTGGAAACATCTTCTGAGAAGCCGTGCGTGGCTCCCAGTCAAAGGGTGGGGCACTGTTGTTGAAGCATTCTCTTTTCTGATTGATAAACAGCACACAGGGACGGAACTAGAGCAGCCCTAGGGGTGGGCACCATCCTTCCCTAATTACACACCCTCTCCCCGTGGGGCCCTGACACCTGCCCTTTGAGTGTAGCCCGTTCCTTGTGATGTCTAATTTTGTCCCTAATCATATAATGTCTTGCAGGGTTAGGCTGGGCAAGCACCCGGCCTAGGACCAGCCACTGAGATGCTGAGCTTAGAATCAGACCCCCTCGGGATTCTTGTTAGGCTTTACAAATCATGTGTGCCACTGATGTGAGCTTGAGTGGTGACGGGAGTGGCTTTGAGATGGACTGCGGTCATGAAGGGCAGTCTGAACTGCATCGTGGGGAGTGGCACTCCCTTTTTGCTGTGGGCTGAAGGTAGATGAAAGAACCGTGGTCTTCTTAGTCCTCCTGATTCTGAGACATTCTCAGAGCTCGCGATGGCAGGTTGTTGGAGGGCCTTCTGGGCTGTTCTAGACGAGCCCAGCATGATCTAAAGCTGCATTTACCTCTCTAGACCTGGAGCTCTTCTGGGATGGACTGGGACAGGGGAGGGGGCTGCTGGTCGGGGTCAAGAATTGCACTGCCTCAGGAGCTCTCTGCTTCCAGAAACATGTGCTTGACTTTCATTCCTCATTCCTGGAAAATGTTCCTTCCCTCTTGTCTTTACAAAAGGCAACCATCCTGTTGTTCTTTGGTGCTCAGTTTTGTCCGAGTCTTTTTGACTCCATGGATTGCAACACTCCAGGCTTCCCTGTCCTTCACCATATTCCAGAGTTTGCTGAAACTCATGTCCAGTGATTTGATGATGCCATCCAACCATCTTGTCCTCTGTTGTGCCCTTCTCCTCTTACCCTCAATCTTTCCCAGCATCAGGGTCTTTTTTAATAAGTCAGCTCTTCGCATCAGGTGGCCATAGTATTGGAGCTTCAGCTGTAGCATCAGTCCTTCCAATGGATATTCAGAGTTGATTTCATTTAGGATTGACTGGTTTGATCTCCTTGCTGTCCAAGGGACTCTCAAGTGTCTTCTCCAGCACCATAATTTGAAAGCATTAATTCTTCGGCACTTGGCCTTCTTTATGGTCCAACTGTCACATCCATACATGACTACTGAAAGGTCACTGGAAAACCAAGAGAGCAGGCTATTTGCACTAGCCCTCCCCAGGCAGCGAGGCTAGAAATAATCTTGTTCCATGTGGATGCCCATCTAGGGGAAACAGCTAAAAATATTTGATCTTGAGCTTTTCCAGTATCTGAAAACCACCACCTTTAATAAAATCCTCCAATGATTTTGCAATGACAAGAAATCCATTATATTTCCAAAA